TGTTTGTATTTATTTTATAAATATTTTATAAACATATTACAAATGTATATAACAAAGATAACATTAATAAGTGCATTTTATTAAATATAAATATAAAAAACAGATTATACTGATACACCATAGATAATAATACGTGATAATAAAAATTAAATGATAATTTTTTTCTAGTTATATAAAAAAAATAAATTCGCCTTTGTTAATTAGACATTACTGCAAGCATAAATCCTGAATAAGTAATAAATTTTTTTTATTGTACTCGAATTTATTTTTTTATCCGCTTACTTTCATGGGTATATATTTATCCAGAGCAAACCCAACTTTAGAATGAACATATTCACATTAAAAAAAATACCCGTGTAAAAAAAAAATATCCATGATTATGAATAATTTAATTTGCGGATTTTGTACACCGCCGATAAATGCGCCCATCTAAAGTGTGGGTCCATTCAAAACTTAAAGCCTTGTGTCGATGCTAGAAATCAATCCAAGACCTCGAATAAAGAAAGCATTAACTAATCGCAATGATCATGTGATCAAATTGTTCAAATATGATTGTTAATTTTTTCTCTATCCAAGATCTCGGACCGATTTCTAGTATCGTGAACATAAGGCTTTAGACTGTTAGGATTTTCTCTGATGTTTCTGGCTGGGTCTGAGGAGACACTATTTGTGTCAATTCTATCTTCATCGTCCATTAAACAAGGATATAGTATGACACAAATAGCGTTGATAGCGCACTCCCAGAATGCAGCCTACGACTGCTACGATTTATCAGATATTTGAAATTTCGTTTAATTCGTTACCAACAGCAGACACGCGCTTATATTTGAATAGCCGTTAGGCGCTCGATAGGATGGCGTCCGTGGCGTTGCGGCAATTTCGAAGGGACTAGCAAGTTTTGAAAATTTTCGCAACGACCGAGATAATGGCAGATAATCAACAAAGCCGATTCGAGAAGTCGCTAGGATTGCTGACTACTCGTTTCGTGTCTTTACTCCAGAAAGCGAAGGACGGCGTGCTGGATTTGAAAGTCGTGAGTACTCGAGATCTCGTGATGGCTTCGAAAAAGTTAACCTTACTAGGTTAAGTAACCGCGGCCGTACACGTCATACTTAGGTTGCGGGAATTTTGAAAGAAGTGCGCGGCAAAGGAATCGTGTCCGTATGCCCGAACGTTCCCCGGTTACGTGGCCGTTACCGCCCTTTGCCGCAGAGCCAAGAGCTGATGCTTGGTATGGTCGACACGCCGATAGCATTGCAATGTCATTAACACGCGATCCTACCTTAACCTAAGAATTGCGGAACTCTCAATAGGGCGCCTCTATGATTAACCGAAGCTGCTAATCTACAACATGACTGACAGCTCATGAACATTTACAGGCCGCAGACCTTCTGGAGGTACGACAGAAACGGCGCATCTATGACATTACCAATGTGCTTGAAGGTATTGGTCTTATAGAGAAGAAGAGCAAGAACAGCATTCAATGGAAGTAAGTGCCACTCCTGTTTTTAAGGATGATATTTCATTTATCCATTTTTGTCTTATGACAAAGGCTGCGGGACAGAGAGGTTCTCGGATCTCTTTATTCTATAGTCAATCAACAGGCTTGAAAAATTTGTACAAATGTAACTCACTCTAACACTGCTATCTCTTTCCTGTGACATACGCTATTACTTTGTGAATGTGTTCAAAGGGGTGCAGGACCTGGCTGCAATACACAGGAAGTCGGCGAAAAACTGACAGATCTAAAGGAAGAGATCAGCAAATTGGAGGATCACGAACAGCTGTTGGATACCCATACCCGATGGATTCAGCAAAGCATAAAAAATATAAAAGATGATAATATAAATAAGAAATATGCATATATCACATACGAAGATGTTAAAGAAAATTTTGTGGATCAATTTGTACTAGGAATACAGGGTCCTCCAGACATGGAAATAACAGTACCAAATGTTTTGAAGGTATTTGAATAGATATCTAAAAAATGTTTGCTCTTCATTGCAATTCCTGGTAGATTTAAACTTCCAAACTGATTTTATTGCATTATAATTGCAATTTTTGTGAAAAAACATCAACCTGGAGGATTAATCTTGTTTTTAACTTATTATGATATTATTTTTGGAAATTTCAGTCTTCTTCAAGAAATAACAGACAACAAATCTAGGAATCAAATTCAGATCTGTTGCTTGATTGCTTTAAACCTGAATTATCCAATATTCCATGCTAGAAAATATTTGATACAGATTATATTGGTATATATTTATCTTTCATATTCTTATTTTTTTACATTTGACAGACTGTCATGCAAGAGGATACAGTGATAAATTATAACATGACTCTGAAAAGTAACTTGGGAGAAATTAAAGTGTATATGGTCCAACCTGAATTAGCTAAAACTTATGATAATAAAGTGTTAGAAATGAGATTACGAGAAGAGATAAAGGGTACAAAGCGCGGAAATGAAGATGAGAAGAAAGAGGAAGTTACTGTTAAACCAAAGAGGAAAGTTGGAAGGTAAGCAGCAATATAAAAAAGACATATAAATCTATGTATGCTCTAATCGTGTCAGAAATAATAAAATAATATTCCTGATCTGCACAGAGCAAATAGTATAATTGGCAATTGCCAAATGATTTTGTAAAGGGGGATGAATAGTTATTAAGTTTGAACTATTCATTTGGTACAAAATGCACACTTTTATATATATTATATATATTTATATTTTTATATATTTCTCAAAATTATAGTTGTATTGGAATACATATAATTTATTTCAACCAATTTAGGCCACCAAAAAACAGTACTAAACCAGATCCGATATTAACTGATGATGAAGAAGAAGAAGATTCGGAATTAATAGAAGCTAAAATAGTCTTACGTGATGTAAGCACCGCAGGTAAATTTATTTTATCTTAATTTACATTAATTTGTTACATTTATTACAATGAAAAGTTTTTAAGTTATGTTTTTAATTATTTTTAATTATAGATATTGTCCAAAGAGATTTGGAGTTTCTTGATCAATTGTATTCTGACTGTAAGTCGATTCTTGGACCGTTATTCATAATTTGATTAATTATTTAAAATTGTCTTAAGTATGAGACTGTACGGTCATTTCCTTTGCTGAATGGAATCTTAACTTTCTGTTGTCTGTAATCTTATTTTTATTTCTTCTATCTGCAATCTGGGTCTTTTTGGTTCAGCTCAAATTTCTTTTACTATTTTAGATTCTCAAAAAATGTAGAAATGTAGAAATGTCTACGGTTATTTTTCAACATTTCTGTTACATTATTAAATCGATGTTACATAATATTCAGAAGAAAAACTAGATTTTGCTTTTTTTTATTTTGAAGAAATTTGAAAATGAAATTTTGCTTGTGCCAAAAAAGGCCCAAATAATTATAGACTAAAATTGAGATTATCAAGCTTGAAGCAATCTTGAATTTAAGAGATCGGGTTATAAATACTAGAAATACTTATATTTCTTTTATACATATATACCTTAATAGTCAATCATATTGTATAATATGTTTATATGAATTTTATTTGCAGTTTGTGGACCATTGATGAGATTAAGTCCACCCCCTGGGGAAAAAGATTATCATTTCAATCTTAGTGAGAACGAAGGTGTTTGTGATTTATTCGACATTACGACATAATGAGTGTTGAGTTGACGTAGCTTCAATATCCGAAATGGAGACTGTGCCAACAGCATTCAAAGTTGATCAGAAGAATCTGATAAAATCATTGAGAATTTGTGCATATAATTTTAGGGAAATTAATGGATCACGATCATTGAGAATATACAGTATTTTTTTATTATTAAAAGTACGAAAAACTAGTACGAGATGTGAAGATATACAACCTGTTCTGACCGCTGTTTATTTGATACATTACTAAGCTAATTCAAAGTTTTAAAGACATTTTTTATAAAGATTTAAAGAGATTATCCTTGTAGCTTTTTGGCTTCATGTTTGCTTCATAAACATTATTCAATGACAATATATAATTGTTCTTTGTAATAATTGTCCATTTAAGAAAAAACACTGATGCGTACAATCAAAATGAATAAAATTTTCTATATATTGCAATGCACGATGTTATGAAGCAAGCCTTTAAATATTGGATTTTTGTAAGAACTTACATGCACATATCCCTGATGTATTCTATAAAAGGCAATGTGATTAGAATGAATGTATTTTAACGTATTTGTACGCGCTCACTCGAAATTTTTAAATATTTTATTGATTATATTCGGATCTTTACTAGCAACGCATAGTTCTAGTTTATGTACAGTATATCTTTATTGCAAGATCAAGTCAATTGTATTTTATAATACAGTTCTCATGTCCGATTATATCGTCTGAATATATGACTGCAAAAACTCAACATTTCGTTTTTTATGATTATATATGCATACACATCCCACTATTGTGGGATACCAATATTATCGACTCCTCTCGAGTTCTGTATTACCAGAAAGCTATGCAACAAACAAACGATGACTGTGCAACGCGATTCAACAAAAAAGTACATGTATCGACGGATGACGTATACCAAGGACAGATAAGAATGGATCGACTGATTTCGTCATCGCCAGCTGTCGTCACACGTGTTCCGTCAACGTCGAAGATCCGGGGGAGGCATTTGATTGCAGTCAATCTGGTCAGTCGTTCAAGTCAGTCGTAGCGAGAATCACGCGAGATCTCCAGATGCAACGGTCCATCAAGTTCGGCGACGCATACGCACGCAGTCTGTCAAAATCGAACGCAGCGTTTTCCAAGGAGCATCGCACCATTCGATACCTCTACGTCCGTTCCTCTGTGACGCCACGGAAGGTAACCTATTATAGCGCAACCATGCCTCATGAAACGACAATTATGACGTAATGCATCATGAAAGTTGTGAAACTCTTGCTATATGGGAGTTTTTAAAAAATAAATCAATTGTTTACAGTCACGTTACAGATGATTTCGATCAAACTCCGATTAAATTAATCTACAATTAATTTATCAAATAACGAATTTACGGTACGTAAATAGAAATATTTGTTAACATGAAAGATTAGAGATAAAGAAGTAGTGTATTTGCATCATAAGGAATAATCAGGAATGATGAATTATTTAGCTTGAAGTTTTGCTCTAATTCTGTCGACTGGAATCGTCGATTTAAGTTGATTAAGATTTAATTGAAGATTTATAAAACAAGAGAGTGGTTATACCAATGCTCTAAAATTACATGTAGAATATTAATTTCGAAAACTACTATTTTTTCCAAATTAAACATTAAATTCCAAAGTAAATGCAATCTTCCTGAAATGCATTCAGATATTACTGGATACATAATTTTAGTGCACTATTTAAAAATTATTAAAAAAATTTTTTTTTATCGAATTCCAATTTGATTTTAGTAAAATACAAAAAATTTATGAACTTTAGAAATCTGTATGATTATTGAAATTTTAATAATAAATTTTAATAATAAATTTATGTAACTATGTATTGACAGTGTTGCATTATAAGTATTTAAAACGTTTGTATAAATAATAATAAAATATGAGTTTAAATAATTATTATTTTTTGTATAATATATTTTATATAAAAATTATATAAATATTTTTATATTGACGATCGATAATGTTTATCCCCTTTATTTTCAGGTCCGGGTCTGTTTGAAAATCAAAGTTTATTTAGAATTAGCTATCATATAGTATATATATCTCAATAATGTAATATTGATTTTATAATTTTTTATGAATACAGTAAAAATAATGATTTCAAATATTTATTTACATTTTTGCAGCCTAAGCACCGAAAATGAGGATCATATTCGTAAAATTTCGTGAGATCTCGCAAAAGTATCCTATTATTCGAGGTATGGCGTCTTATTCAATTATATGGCCAACTGGAAATTTTTTGCAACAGAAGATAATGGGCAAAGAAGAATTTAATTACATGGAAACTGTGCGATTCAGTCTATTCGGTGGTCTTTATGTAGCGCCTACACTATACTGCTGGCTGAAATGCGCATCTCACTTCTGGCCGAAAGCAGATTTAAAGTCTGCGATCACTAAGGTGTGCACATTAACGAAAATTGAATAATTTATGTTATTCAATATTGTTGTATGATAAATTAATTTATTCATGGAAATAAAAAACAACTCAATAAACATTAACTAACAATGAAATAATTGAATAATAATCGCAGGCTTTGATTGAACAAGTCACATATGGTCCTGCAGCTATGTGTTCCTTCTTCTTTGGCATGAGTCTTCTTGAATTAAAGCCAATTTCGGAATGCATTGACGAGGTCAAAATTAAATTTTGGCCAACATACAAGGTATCATATCCTCGATAGATGTATTCTCAAGTCTGAAATTAAGTGGATTAACACGAAATTATTTTCTTTCTAGATTGCTATTTGCGTTTGGCCAATTCTCCAAACCATCAATTTCATCCTAATTCCAGAGCGAAATCGTGTAGTATACGTCAGTATATGCAGCTTGATCTGGACGTGTTTTCTTGCATATATGAAATCTCTTGAAGCCAAACAAAAGGAGCCGATTAGCATTACCAATGTTAATCCCAAGATAATATCAGAAAGTAAAGCGCAAACCAACGAAAGAGCCAATCATATGCAGATTCCTCTACTACGAAAAGTGTTAGGAAACTGACATGCCGTTAGATTAATTTATTTGTACATACGTGCAATTGGAAGCAATATTTATACTTTATGATGCAATTCACATAATATGATTATCTGTGATATTCACAGTACAAAACTATTACCTACATTTATAGGAATATATGTATGTATTATTATACATGAATAATGTGTAATAATTGATAATATTGAAACTTAAAAGAATTGAAAGTATATCTCTAAATTTTTTAAGTGAAAATGACGTAATTGACAATATAATTAGACAAACATCAATTGTTGATGATGTGTGTGCGCGCGCGCGTGCGTGTGTGTGCGTGTGTGTGTGCGTGCGTGCGTGCGTGCGTGCGTGCGTGCGTGCGTGCGTGCGTGCGTGCGTGCGTGCGT